TGGGACGTGGTATAGTTGGTCCAGTATAAATAATATCTGACAGTGATTAAAATCACAATTATAAAAAACGCTTCGATGCAACTCTGTAAATAAATTTTAATTTTAAGATGTTTGTGGATTATACCAAAAACATAATGAATTGCTATTTCCTTTATTATTCCTGATTACTATTTTTTTTTATTTGAAGTATAATTAATGAATAAATATTTATTAAAGCAATTCAACGTAGTATGAAATTTATATTTAATAATTTAGTATTGTAATTTTTTCGGGGAATTTATAAAAAATTATAAAGTAGTTTTTATTTTTATGGCAAACGTGTATAAAAATTGAAAGGCTCGACATAAAACTTTTTTTATAAAAATTTGTTGTTAATTATGAATATTATGAATTATGCAAAAAATGTTCATCAGGGTCAAAAATAAACTTTTATTATTCAATTTTTCGTGCTAATTTCAAATTAGCTATTACATTTTTTCACCAATAATTTTTGATATTATTACTAATTAATTAAAAACTATGAGGAAAATTTCAATTATATCATCTATATAATTATATACACCAAGTGACATAGAAATAATTAATATTTCTTTTGAAATGATTTATTACGATAAAAAAATAATTGAAACAAAACAAAATTGTTTTTAAATTATAAAAGATTTTGATTTTTTATATGTTATAAATAATCAATACAAAATTACATATTTAACCTATTTTTTTAATCCTTTAAAGTTGAATTTTGTGAGTTTATAATAAAAAAAAAATGTTGAATTTTCTACCATATTTTATAGCTCAATTTCATATTTGAAATTTACATTTTTAAATAGAAAATTTTATGAGAGTTAAAAAATTATATTGTTAAGATTAATTTGCAGTCAGGAAATTGTATTTATTGTTATTACTATTTATTGTAAATTTATCAGAAAAGCTCAATATTTTTATTTTGTATTTTTAATATAATAGATCACTTAAATAGAAAGCATAGTAATCATTTCCTAGTAACTTTTGATGTTTAAATGATTCTTGTGATCTTTTGATGAACCGTAGAAAGAAATTGATATACATCTACTAAGAAGGGTTTTTTTTTTAAATTAATACCTCCTCAGTTTTGCATTGAAGCTAAAATTTAAAAATATTTAGTAATAATAATAACTCATAGAAGCAATAACATTAAAAAAATTTATTCTAGCTTATTTATTATAATTTATAATTTATTTATTTATTTATTATAATCTTATACTAAATAGTTAATTATTTACCTTAATTTATCTATTAAAAAATTATAAGTGAGACTATTAGGTGAATGAATAGTTATTATAATTATATTTGATTTATAAAAAATATTGAGCTCAAATATTTTTTAAATTAAAATAATAATAATAATAGTAATAAATAAGTAATATATATTTTAAGATAATAAAAACTTACTCATAATATATAATTTTATTAGCAACAAATTGAGTGATAATACAAAATTAAGACAAGTAAAGGACTATCCTACATGTACTGACATGATTTTACAGGTTTGATTAATTCTATATTTTTAATATGATAAGTATTAGATTACTAAAAAGTAGGGAAATGTTTATTAACAAATAATCATTAACTAATTGATTCATTCTATTTATATCTAAACAATTTTATAAGAGATAAAATTCATAATAAAAAAATAACTTACCTTTATAACTGCAGTAATCTTTAATTATGTGAGTCGTTTATTTCTCGTAGATATACAAAAAAAACAAAAAACAACAACGAATAAAAAATTTATTATTTTACGAGTGAGCGAATATTCTTTTAAAAATATAAAATCAAAACTTTACAGAACCGTTTGTTCAAATGTTAAGTTTAAGTCATTTGATATCATAAATCAGAATATAATAGTTATAGACAATCAACTACAATTTTACAATATTATCAATACATTCACAGAACAATTTTAGTTGAACTTAATAATATTAAACTTAAATTACATAATCAATTTACACGAAAAGTACTTTAATAACATAACCCTACGAAAATACATCTACTAAACAAAATGAGACTTGTATACATATTATGTTATCAAACGACTCAATATATTAAAACCATAAAGTAACACTATGACTATGACGGTTACTTGTTTATAATCAAGGAAGTTCGAAATTACTATCAATATTTCATGTTGTTAAATAGAAATATGTATAAAATCTTTGAAATTGATAAAAATAGATACATGAACATTTACATACATAACTTATGCATTAAATTTATTCACAATCCAATTGGAATTGTGGATTAGTGTATGTTATAATCTCGAAGTTGTTTTTGATTAATGATATCATTTATACCGGTTGACATAAACTTCTGTGGTTACAATGGTGCTTTTGTTATTGTAAATAAAGATTAATTTATTTTTAATTTTAATTATTGATAGATATGGACTGATAAATTATTAATAGTATATACTCGATTCTATGGTAAGACAATATATTTTTTATTTTTTTACTTCAAAGTAATTTATTTAGTTTCAGTCTGAAAACGGTCATTATAGTTGATTTAATGGGAAGATTTTTTAAACAATAAATAACTAGAATTTAAATAACATTACATCTCTAAATGCGTATAAACTATTCTATAACATTTTCTATATAACATTCCTTAATTTCCAGTTTGTCAACTTCAATAAAAATAAACAATGACTTAATTTTCTTATCTTAGATTTTATTCCCATTTGTTCTCAGTTCATGTTTATTAAAATTCTCTGAATTCTTTTCTTTATTGTTATCTTAAAAAACAAAAATCAATTATCCAATTTTCTGATTTTCTTATTAAGTAGCCTATACGTATTATCAATAGAATTTCATTAGACAATTTTTTAACTACTCCTAGTGCATAAACTTTTTATTGACAAGGCATAGTATCTAAGAAAAGTAATACTATATTATATTTAAAATATAAACAAAAAAATTTCATTAAGAAATATTGTTTGAAAGTGAAATTTTGGAGTTAAAATAATAATTGTTAATATAGTTGACATGACTACAAATTTTGTTGATTAAGTTCAGCTTTTTAAAATTTTTATTTTTTATCATGTGCTGTTGAGGATTAATGAAATTTGTGAAATTGACTTGTCTAGTATTTACAAGTGATGGAAAATTATTTTAACATGATAATGCATTTTATAGTAATATGTGCAATTATTTTAATAGTTTTTAGTGCACTGTCTAGCAACTTCTAGCTTTCAGAAACTCAAATGAATGTTCTTAAAATTTAATTATATAAAAATCAGTATGGATATAACTTGAAAACTTATTAAAATGGGTAGTTAAATTTTAAACATGCATTTTTAAAATACTAAAAATTATTAAATTTAAATTTGTCCTTTAGGGCATTTTAAATTATTTATGTTTTATACAGGTTTTTTTTTTAATATGTTTTTTAACAGCCAATGTCTAGAAAGCTACAACCCCTATGCAAACTATATTAATGATAATCAGAATTAAATTTAAATTGTTTTTTTAGAACAAACAATGAAAATGGAAATAGATTCCTCTTCTGTTGAAAAATTTATGGATTTTTCTTCAAAAAATCCAGTTTGGAAGATTGAATTACCCTATAGTCCGATAGATGTTGATGAAGATCCAGAAAATGTAGATTTTCTATGTGAAATGGTTCGAAATCAATATTTAAAACATTTGAGACAAACATTATATGATAACCTAGATGTAGAGCCTAAAAAATTTCAAAAAGATTGCTTATTTCAAGTAGATCACTGTGTTAACACATGTATGACTGAGATGGAAAAACAAGCTCTTAGGCGATGTTTGATTGCAAGTATTTATCGAAAAAATATGACAAAAATGGTTAGTTTTATTATAATAATGCATTTCTTATATTGACTTTTTTCTGAAATAAATAATTTGTTAAATACATTCATTGAATTTTTTTATATTTTGAAAACCACATTAGTAAAAAATAACTGATCTTAACTAAAACAATTTTTATTTTATAAAAAAATATTTCATTTAATACTATTATTAATGATTTATATGTTAAGCTTGAATTAGACTGAGTCTCTCTGATAGAAACTAATTCATGTGATGTCCTTTTTACTAAAAGTAGTACTTTTAAAATGATAATAAACATAATAAATTATAAAAAAAAAAATTTTCCTCAAAGACCTTAAATTAATATAAATAGTGAATTATATGTTATACATAGTTATTGAAATTAAATGATTGCAATGATAGCATTGCTAATACTGTTTAAACTTTTTAAATCTAATAGTGATTAGGTATAGTTTCACGATGGTTCTCTTAATTATAATAAAAATAATAAATTTGAAAAACCTCATTAAGATTTCTTCGGGACAATAAATATAAATAAAAAATCTATACAAAATTATTGAAATATAAGTAGTTTATTTTATAAATTTTGATAGCTTTATTTGGAAAATATGAAATTATAAGCTATTTTATAACACAAAATGTAGGTTTTACCAATCTCTCTAACATTCTCATTTTAAAAGAGAATGTTAAATATTATAAAATAAAGAAATAAGTAAATTAATTGAATTTTTTAATTAATATTTATTGTTAATTTTTTATTTTTAAATAGATTAATGAAGTTAAAACATGCACCAAAAATTCAGTGATGTATATCTTATTAGAACAATTATTAAAAACTCATAAATCATCACAAGTATCAAAATGCAAAGAAAACCAAAAAGTAACTCTAGTAAGTGTTGGTGTTAACACTGAAAATGAAACTTATGAAATTGAAAAACAAACTGGTTTAGAGGATAACATAATATATTCACTTCAATCAGGCAACAAAGATATCAATTTTTCAACTCATCATTTAAAAAATGAAATGATTGATAATTATGATTCTTCATGTTTATTAGATTCAACAACAAACTATACGAGTCAAAGAGATTTTAAAAATAATAATCCAGAATTTATTTTACCTAAAATTGAATTAAATTTTGTCAACAATACAAAATATCCAATCAAAGATAATACTGGTATTAGTTCTCTATTAAATGATTTACAAGACTCACCAGAGTTAGATCAATATATAACTTTAGAAGAACGATTAATAGCCATGGGCTTAGAAGTAGATAATATAGAATCTACCCAACAAATGCCTAAACTAACTTCTACCGTTAATACAGCTTCTAAGTATATTGTGAGACCAAACAAAATAAGAAATATTCTAAAAAATAAGTTAAAAAGAGAAAGAGTTGCTAGATCTTATGAGCTTCAAAGAAGTATTAATAAATTACCTATTGATTTGCAAAAAAGACTGACACAAAAGTTTGATGAGTTATTTGGAACTGGACATACTTATGATTCGGATCCATTAACAGAAGAGGAAGAAAGAACTATTGCTCACAAGAGAATTGTAAAATTAGTTGTAGATAATATGACACCATATTATAAAGCTAGACGTATAAATCGACATTTATTCAAAACTTTAGCTAAATTTATTTCTAAAAGTCTTATGGAGCAAACATATGGACCAGGTAAGTCAAAATAATATTAAGTATTTATAATAATTGTGGTGTCTTAAAAGAAGGAGATTATCATAAAGTAAACCATTATTTAATATTTAGTTAGAACTGTAAACTATGAATTTTGTTTTATCATAAATATTTATCATATAACACCTCTTACAACTACTAGGATAAGTTATACCCTTTGATGTTTGTCTGTAATGGTAAATAGTATGTATTTTGATTTGATTTGCTGGAATTTACATGTTTACAAACATTATCATTGGAAAAAACTTAAGAAATAAATTTTATTTATAAATTATCATAACATTTAAATTAACATACATAAATATACATTTAAATTTAACTTAACAAAAAAAAAAAATACTTTTGTTTTTATTAAAAATTTTCATTATTACTGAACATTAAACACTTAATTGTCAGTGATCACTAGATAGGACAGTTTACCATTTTACAGAATTTCTACAAAGAGTAATTTATTTTTGATTTGGTGTTGTAATGATAAAATAATACTTTGCCAGACCTAGATTAATGGTGGGTAAGGCGGTATTTTGAATATTTGTAAAACTAAACCATACAGGTCCTAATTTAAGAGCAGGTGCTTCAGGCCTCTTCTTAAATTTTACGTGCTAAATAAACGGAAATTAAACAAATTATGATCTTTTTAACACGCCTATATTAGTTTCACATGTATATTGTTTGTTGTAAGTTTCTAACTCCGCGTGTTATGATGTCGCGTATCCCGTCGTCTATGGCCTTGAGATTAGACTGTCGTAACGTATTCACCCCACCCCGCTCACCACTCGCCGCCTACACTATTTTCCTGTATAATTTTTTGTTTTCGTACCCGTACATGCGTGCGTATTATCAATATTATATATATAAACAAACTTTTATTGTTTATTATTAGATATCAACATTTAAAGATTCAAATTTTTTTGAGTTAATGTACATGTATTATACATATGAGATTACAAATACAGGTAGCTAACTGGTTTTTTATGACAATATTAGTAAGCATATAGCCTTTATTATCATTAGTAATACGACACATTGTTGTGAGTTTATAAACACACTAACTGGCAATACAGAAATTATATCCATTGCTAGTAATAATTGACAATAAACACTCCGTGACTGTAACAGCGATGTCATAAAAAACTAATAAGTGAAAAATAAATACAGTTTAAAAGCGTGTTTTTCAGTTTTTTAAACTATATTTATTTTCATATCATTCCATTTCATTATTATAACAAAGTTTAATAAAAATGTCTTTCTGAAACTTTTGTACCTGTGACTCAACAAATATTAATTCATAATTGTACTTAGTGATACTAAAAAATCAAAAATCAATTAACACTTTTTTTTTTTAATTAAATTATAAAAATATTATAGGAATTCTAACCCAGAATTCTTTCATTAATACATTATTTTATTTAAAGCCATATTTAATAGGTGAGAATTAAGAAAACAAAATATAGTCAGAAGTCATAAATAGGAGGCTAGAGAGGATTTAGCTCTCCTCTCAAAAATACTTTTGTAATTGTTTTATATTATTATATATTAGTACATTTTAGAGTTTAGAGAAATAAAATTCGCACTCTAAAATTTTATACTACTAATAGTTTTTAAATTACTCGATTTTTTTTTTAACTAAAAAATTGGCATTGTGGTTACAGACTTCCTTTCATCCAATTTTCATGTTTGCCTAATATTTTTAGCTTCGCTATTACCAAGAGAATTGGCATTATTTGAGGGACTTAGCACCTATAAAATGAAAAAAATAAAGGACAGCCTCCACTCAAAAGTAATGACTAAGTTTGTTTATTATTAGATAATTGACCTTTTTTACGTATTAAGTAAAAGTAAAAATAATATAAAAGAATTATTGTTACTAAACTTAAATGTATGAACTACTCAAAATTTTAAAACTATATGCTAAAAAAAAATTTTTTTGTTATTTTTCATTGTTCTTTAATAGAGATTACACTAGTTTACTAGCTCAAAATTATTGGTCCCATAAGAAAAATTAAACTTGTTATTAAGTTACCATTATGATCTTATCTGTTCTATAAATAAGATTTTTTTTAATGGCAACATATTAGTTGCATATTAGAATAAATGAAAAAAGGAAATAATAATTAATAAATTAAAAAATATATAAAACTAAAAAATACCATAAATAATTTTCTTTATAATTATTTTATGAGAAATTGAGTGATAAATATTATAAAACTCTACTTCTTAATTTTACAACTTTTTAGAGTATATTTTATTATTTATGTATAATCTATTTATGATGATTCAGCTTAAAAATATATATGTAAAAAAATTAATGTATTTACCTATCACCACGAATATCTAGTATTAGATATTCTTGTATCATATTTTTTTAATATCTATTTTACATTAAAAAGAAATATGCCTGTTTTGATAAATATACATTTAATAAATATTATTTATAAATACAACTATTTTCTATAACGGTAGTAGATTCAGAATTTTTTTAAGGGGGATGGCTCAAAATGTTATTAGTCAGTAAATCATATTTTTTTCCACAAAGCTTATTTTTAATAATTTAAATTTTAATAAATATTATAAGTTATAATAATATTAAAACTTAGTGTAAAAAATTTAAATATAATTTTATATTATTAAAACAAAATTGTACTTTTTTAACTGTGCGCATATTTATCAAGGCAGATATGTCCCATTGTTATTTCTAACAATGCTGAAATTCAGACTTCAATTGCTTTAACGCCTATTGGCTCTAATACATTTGTATTGTATTTAATACTAATATTATAAAATATTCATTATATATATTTTTTTTTTACACATGCTTTAAGAACTAATGCACATGTATTTTCTCTTCTAATATATTTTTATTTAAAAGTTCCTTCAACCACCTTATGCCAACACCGTCTAATATTTTCCATATTCCTACTAGTACTTCATCTGGTTCTTCTGCTTTGTTATTTTTCATTGATGTCACAGCCTCCCTATCTCTTTCTTACTAATTAAATCTACCAGTCCCTTGTTCCATGAGATACCCTCTAATGTTTCTCTTAGATACCATTCAATAATTTTTCAAAATACTCTTTTCACCTTTTTTCACATCGTCATCACTTGATAGCACCCTCATATCAACACTTTTATACACATTACATAGTAATAATCTTTAGATCTTTTTTCTATTACTTTTACAAATCTATAGACTTCTTTTTAACCTTCCTTTGTTCCTAGCCTATCATACAATTCATCATACCTCTTTTTTGCACAAGCGTTTATACTCCATCCAATCTTTTCTCCTTTTGATCTTCTGCGATACTGCTTTTTTTTACTTTCTATGATTTCTTTAACGTCTTCTCATGTCACCACCAGATTCCTTATTTCCTAGCATTCTACTTTTATTCTCGGCAACATTCTTCTTTTCAGTATTTTTTACACAAATAGCAAATCTGTTCCACACATAATTTGTGTCTCCCTCGACATTCCACACAGCCCTCTCTTTTACCGTCTTTAAAATCTTTTAATTTCCACCACGATTCTCCTCCTGTATTCTTTTTGTTTCTGTATATTTTCTTCCCACTATACCACAACTCCATTACCATCAGTTAATGTTGTGAAGTTACATTTTCGCCTGAAATAACTTTACAATCTTTTACTCGCTTTCCGATCTCTCTCTTCCACATAAAATAATCAACCTGTAATCTATTACTCCCACTTTTTTAAGTTATATAGTGTTCTTCCCTTTTTCTAAAATAAGTATTAACCACTTCAGGATCATACGATACTGCAAAATCCAGGATTCTTTCTTCAGCCTTGTTCTTCCCACTAAAACCAAGCTCTCAGTGTACTCCTTCATATCCTCTCTTCTCATTACCTACATATCCATTTATATCTCCACTGATCACCGCATACTTATTACCTTCCTTATTACTTGCATTATTCATCTCTCTCCAAAACATTGTCTTGTCTCTTACATTATATACTACCTGTAGTGCATAGGCACTTACTACTTTCAACACTTTCCTCGAAAATTAATTTTACAACTATCATTCTGTCACTTTTCCTAGCTTCTTCTACTACTTTACTTTTCATCTACCCTGTCCATTATTATCCCTACACCATTCTTTATATTAGTCTACTTGATGTAATAAAAAGAAATCGATGGATGATGAGGATTGGGTTAAATTAAATGGATTGGGTTGCATTGGATTAATTTATCCTATTTCTTAATATTACAAAAATATAGTGAAAGCCTTACGACTACACTTACGTTACTGTACAGATGAACTCGTTTGTTAATAATAAATTGTGATGTTCCTTGACGTAAATATATTAATTTAATTTAATTAAATAAAACACTGATATGAATAGCAACATACCGAATTCATTTCTAAGATTTGAAATAGTTATTTTAACTATGAAAGACTTATATAAAATTAAGGTTGATAAAAATAAGAAGAAATTTTAATATGAAAGAATAAGAGTATCGGTGAATAATGAACTGGTGTGTTAATTTTCCTAACCCTTTTATATTAAACTTACGTGTAAAGTGATGAAGAAAAGTTAGTTTTTCTTAAAAATTTAACTATTTTATCCTGGCGCTTGTTCGGCGCCACAAATACGCTTAAAATAATTAAAAAGATTGATATTAATGTAAACATCGCTCTGAGTGAGCAATATATTTGTAAAAAGTAATAGAATAATTGTTGATTAAAAAAGTAATTGATAATTATTATTTGATAAAATTAATAATTATTTATGTGAAAAATTATTCTAGACGTTTCGAGAGACTTCTATTTTAATTCATTACACTGAGAATATTATTTCAAAACCCTCACCTATTTCCCTTGCTTTCTCTCCCTTCCACTTGGTTGCCTCCGCACAACAAATGTCAACTTTTTTTCTCTTCAATACTTATACTAATTCTCTACTTCTACCAGTTAGTGTTCCAACATTCTACGTACCTATTTTTACTTTGTATTTATCTTTCTCCCTTATACACGAGTCCTGCCAAGAGTTGAATGATGATGTCTCTACACCGTTGACACCACTAGCGTTGGGTAGACCTGTACATATGATTAGTGAAACAGCTACCGCACAAGTTGTTCGGCTGGTATCAAACACTTCTGGTTTTCTCCGTTTCTGACTACTTTATTTCCTCTCACCTGTTACCCCGCGTACATCTGAGATAGGACAATTCCCCTAAGTTTTGTTCAGAATTCATCATACTTTTTGACAAAATTTTATGCCGTCAACCTGACGCAACCACATTAGTCATCTTTTACGACTGGTAGAGGGGCCGTGAAAGTATTCTTATCTCCAATCCACTGAAATAATAATAATAATGAATATATATATATATATATATATATATATATTAATCGGAAGTATTGCGAATCGTGTTAGGTCAGCTTCATAAATTAACACTTTGTGGAGACTTAAAATTAAAAATTTTAGCTTGTTAAAAAAATTGACAACGAAAGACCTTTTTTAAGTTAAAATAACCGTAATGTAATCATACTTATACTTCAAACGACTATAAATAATGATTGGATTAACATGTGACTTTGAAATTTTATATTTTGCCTAAGAAATATAACTAGAAAAACTAGAATGAGTTTTCATCATTATTTTAATATTGTGAGTATATTTTAAAATGGGACTTATGAACGCCTAAAATTCGCTTTCAGACCATTGTGCGCTACCTTTATTTTTTCTTTAATATCGTATGCATATTTGATGGTATGTTGACTCGTTGAAACTTAATCGTACTTGTTATAAAATCTTCACTGCTAACTTCTTAATAACACTAAATTTGCTACTTTCTATGTCTCTGGAAATATTTTTTCGTTCATACATTTATTGTATGTACTTATGAAAAGTTCCGGTGCTTTGTCTACAAATATTTTTACTATTACATTAGTAATCCCGTCTGGGTATGGTGCTTTATTATTCTTGTCTTATGACTGTCGATAATAACTTTTGGACCAATACTATGGTAGTGATTAGAATTTTAAAATATAGTACTGATGGTGAAGCGCAGATGCTGCTATTTTTATCCTAACGCTAACCTTTTGGCGGTAAAATTAAGATCATTAGATGAGCATACGAGAGGAATTGTTATGCATGATATTGACAATATTATTTTTAATGCAAAGTACAATCACCAAACTACTATTAGCAATAATCCTAGTAAATATCATACTCCAAACATGTACCCGCAACACTCAAATATTTATGGACTAGCTCCACCTAATTTCTATTTTACCCGACCTCCACTAAGATCACCTATATATCCCCCGTCCTCTCCGTCCAACTCGTACACGATAAATCAACCACCTATAATGTCTTTACTAAAACATTTACCGATACAATTAATGAAACGTCTCCTTCTACAATCGTAGAAAATCCCTTGTCAGCCAAAACTTCCGTAGTGATATAGGCCCATATTTCAATGCGGGCGTTTAACAAAATTAATAATATAATAATAATTATCAATTATATACTAAAGTTTATTATACTTTATTAAGTTTATATACTTTAGTTTATTCTTAAATATGTAAACATTTTACTTTAGAATCAGAGGCATAACTAGGGTATTGTGCCGATTAAGATTATGTATATAAGAAAAATCTTTACTAATCTTTTCAAACAAAAAGAGCCATGTTTTCTCCATACAATTATTAATGTTTTTTGGGGAGAAATATTCTTTGTCCTGGAAGGTATCAATTTATATATGTCTTCTTATTGTACAAATATTGTTCTCTAAGATATAATTTTATTAAAATCCCTTATCGTTTTAAAAAGAAATATGTTTCGTTTAATTTTTTCTTTTATATTCACTGTAAACATTTGATACACTTTAAGTGCTATTTAAAAAACAAACATTTATTTTTTAGACGAAGAATTTGTAGCTAAAGGAGTCGGAGAATTTTTTGTCGGTGATAAACGTATAGAGACTTTAGAAGATATCTACGATTAATTAAATTCCTATTTTGGCATAACTGTATATATATATTGTTTTAGATTTATGAAATCTACCTTGTTAAACAATTTACTCTTATTTTTAATTTTTTTAAACTTTTGTTAGCTAAAATTAATAATAACTAGAACAAAAAAAATTGTACGTTATTAGTTTATAAGTTTACATGAGAAGTTAAAATATTCATTATTTTATGTTATATTTTTTTTCAACAATCACAGTTACTATATTTATCCAATTTAATGGACCTAACTTAATTTAACTATTAATATATTCAATTGTTTGATTGCGTATTTTTATTAACATTATTGTATTTTTTTTTTATACGTTTTAACTAAATAAATGTAAACCTTGTATTTTCTTTAGTTAACTGTCATGTAATATATTATGTCATAATGTTATAAACATTTTATTAATTTTTGTTTATCCTCTTTACTCTATTTATTTCGTGGAATTTATTACCAATTACAGTTGAACATTTTTTATAACTAAATAATCGATTAATTAATCTATAGATTAATTTCTGATGTTTCTGGCTATGTCTTATTTTGGGAGACAAGTAAAAGTTGTTCCACCTTGTTATAGTTCTAGATCCGACTCAAGGGTGAGTGTTATGGGTTCTAGAGTGATATGTTGAGTGTATAGTATCTTTCTTAAGTTTATATAAAAAGGCAGCGAAATGAAATTTATATTTTAAGTAACATTACTCAGTTGATTACATTTTTTATAATCTCTTTTATACTGAAAGAGATTATACCTTACAACCTTTTAACGTTGATCCTACTGTACTTTAATCATAAAATTTTATTATGATACCTCAATAACGGTAACAATTTAGTTTCGTTCTAATACTCTTAGAGTGTATACACATGTTAAACATTTTTTCAAACATAATGTATATATTATACATATTTAGCCCTAGTACTATGATCAATAAATCCATTAAGAATTACCACGAGTTGCTATGACAACGACCCTACTCAAGCATGCTCTGTGGACCATAAGTCTGATTCTACTTTTTGTACTTATTCTTGTATTTTCACAATTTTTTACTAAAACAATCATGCTGCCGGTCGAATGTATTGTACTGAAGTAATTTTAATTATTTAAGAAGAATATCCCAGGTTCACAGGTACATTATAACATACTATTCTCAAAATATAATGTCTATTAATTTATAAGGCTTAGTTATCATTAAATTAACTATTTAGGTATGATGAAGAAAATCTGGGCAAAGCTCTTTTTTTATATCATATCATTGATTTATAAAATCAATTTATCTTACGCTAGTGAAAATTTAGTTAAAGAAAACACAGACAACAACCCTCATGAATTTCATATAGGTGGTGTGTTGAGTAGTTTTGAAAGCGAAGAGTATTTTCACCGAACGATTGAAGTATGTGCAAAATTTAAAAACGAAATTATTGAAAGATATTTAGTCTTTGGTTCATTACCTTATTTTAAAATACTAATTAAATAAGTAATTTTTTTTTAGCATCTCAATTTTAATACGCCATTTGTGAATCCTGGAAATACGTTTTTTGCTCACTCAATAAGAATGGATCCTAATCCTATAAAAACAGCTTTAAATGTTTGCAAACAATTAATTGTACGCAGAGTATATGCTGTTATTGTATCTTTACCTCAAATAGGTGATTTATCGCCAGCTGCAGTATCTTACACTAGTGGTTTCTATCATATACCTGTCATTGGGATATCATCTAGAGATTCTGCTTTCTCTGATAAAGTAATTCTCTATTTTAATGTTTTTTATGTAGTGTGTTATTTCTTAGTTAAAATTATTATTAACTGAAGTACAAATTTGAAATTTATAGTTTTTTTTTCTAGAATATTCATGTATCATTTCTTCGTACTGTTCCTCCATATTCACATCAAGCAGAAGTCTGGGTTGAATTGCTTAAGTATTTTAATTACTTAAAAGTAAAAAATTTCATACAGAGTGAAATAATAATAATAATATTGAAGTTACAATTTTTATGCATTTTTTTTCAGGTAATATTCATTCACAGTTCAGATACTGATGGTCGTGCATTTGTTGGTAGATTTCAAACTACTTCTCAAAATCAAGGAGAAGACATTGAAAAAAAAATTCAGGTTTTTATTTAAAATTTATATATTTTTTATTATACAAATTATGATAAATTACTTGAAAAATTTTCTGTTAGGTTGAAGCTGTAATAGAATTTGAGCCTGGTCTCTTTCACTTCAACAATCAACTTAATGAAATGAAAAGTGCTCAAGCCAGAGTATATTTGATGTATGCAAATAAAATGGATGCTGAAGTAATTTTTAGAGATGCTGCTGTTCGTAATATGACAGAAGCTGGCCATGTTTGGATAGTTACAGAACAAGCATTAGATGCAGTAAATGTTCCTGAAGGCACTATAGGTTTAAAATTAGTTAATGCATCTAATGAACTAGCTCATATATACGATAGTATGTAAGTTATAGACATTTAGTTATTAACACAGCAATTAAATATTTATTAAACATCCATTAATATGTACTGTATAGCTATATTTTGGCTTCAGCGATAACAGATATGAACCGTACTAAAACCATTACTCAGCCACCTGCTGATTGTGATAATTCAGGAACAATATGGGATACGGGCAAAACACTTTTCGAGTAATTATTTTGTTTTATAATAACTCATTAAAATTTTGTACAAAAAATTATCAACACTTTATTTTAGTTATATAAAAAAACAAGTATATAAAGAGGGACATACAGGAAAAGTAACTTTTGATCACAATGGAGATAGAATTTATGCGGAATATGATATAGTTAATGTGAAAGAAGTGGCATATAAGGATGCCATTGGAAAATACTACTTTAATAGTGTACATATTTATATTGTATTCTACTATACTAGGTATTCATTAAAAATTTAGGTAATAAAATAATAAATATTTATTTTTTAGGAATTAAATAAAATGAAACTTCGTTTAAATGAGTCAAATATCATGTGGCCTGGACGTTTAAGGAAAAAACCAGAAGGTTTTATGATACCAACTCATTTAAAAGTTCTAACAATTGAAGAAAAACCATTTGTTTATGTTAGACATCTACAAAAGGAAGATGACCAAAATTGTGAAAAGGATGAAATTAAATGTCCATTGTATAACACATCAACTAAAGGTAGAAACTCTTTAATAGTTCTCTGTTAAAATGAGCCTAAGTTATTTATATTTTCCTAAAGAGCCTAAGATTTACTGTTGCAAAGGATATTGCATAGATTTACTTGTGGAGTTGTCAAACACAATTAATTTCACATACAGTTTATCACTATCCCCAGATGGACAATTTGGAAATTATGAAATAAGAAATAATTCAGGTTTTATAATAATCTATTATTTTAAGAGTATTCATTATATGTTAATACTCACTTTATTTGAAATTGAATTGTTTCATGTAGGAAGTGGAAAAAAAGAATGGAATGGATTAATCGGAGAACTAGTATATGAACGAGCAGACATGATATTAGCTCCATTAACTATTAATCCAGAAAGAGCAGAATTTATAGAATTTAGTAAACCATTTAAATATCAAGGAATTACAATTTTAGAAAAAAAAGTATAAGTAGTTTAGTATTTTAAATTATTTATAAATGTTTTTCAATTTAAATCAATTATTTTAGCCATCAAGATCTTCTACCCTAGTATCATTTTTACAACCATTCAGTCATACATTATGGGTACTGGTTATGGGCTCTGTTCATGTTGTGGCTCTTGTTTTATATCTGCTTGATCGTTTTTCTCCATTTGCACGTTTTAAATTAATCAATGCAGATGGAACAGAAGAAGATGCCCTCAATTTATCCAGTGCAACATGGTTTGCATGGGGTGTGTTACTAAATAGTGGAATTGGAGAAGGAACACCAAGAAGTTTTTCAGCTAGAGTATTAGGTATGGTGTGGGCTGGTTTTGCCATGATAATTGTTGCATCATATACTGCCAACTTAGCTGCTTTTCTCGTTTTGGAAAGACCAAAAACAAAATTATCTGGAATTAATGATGCCAGGGTAATTTATTTATATCACCTAATAATAATAATAAAAATTATAATTAATATTATTATTTTGTAGCTACGTAGTACAATGGAAAATTTGACATGTGCTACAGTTAAAGGCTCTGCTGTTGACATGTATTTTAAAAGGCAAGTGGAACTCTCAAATATGTACAGAACTATGGAAGCCAATAACTATGAAACTGCAGAAGAAGCTATAAGGGATGTAAAAAATGAGTAAGACAAACTAATAATAAAGATTAATTTTTTAATACTTAAGTTAAAATAAACTTGTCAATTAAAATTATTATAGATAATAATGTTAGACAAAACTTTTTAAATAATTACTTTTATTAATTTTAAAAGAATAATTATTAATAATACAGACATAAAAGCAAAATATTGGCTATTTTTACTTTACAATAGATAAAATAATAGTTTTAAGAAGTACCTTTATCCACTCAACCTTTTAAATTTGAAAAAAGTAATATAATTTAAAAATTGTGATTTTTAAAATTGATTCAATTTTTTTTATAGCAAACTTATGGCATTTATTTGGGATAGTAGTCGTTTAGAATTTGAAGCAGCCCAAGATTGTCAATTAGTAACTGCTGGTGAATTATTTGGGCGTTCTGGTTATGGAATTGGCTTACAAAAAGGATCACCTTGGTCAGAATCAGTTACTTTATCAATTTTAGATTTTCATGAAAGTATGAAAACATAATAAATTATCATATTAATCGACTTCATAATTGTTTTAAATTATATTTAGGTGGATTTATGGAGAGTTTAGATGATAAATGGATATTTCAAGGGCGAGTGGAACAGTGTGAAGATCAAGAAAAAACTCCTAACACATTAGGATTAAAGAATATGGCTGGTGTTTTTATTCTTGTTGCTGTTGGTATTGTAGTAGGAATGTTTTTGATTGTTATTGAAATTGGGTATAAAAAACATCATGTTCGAAAACAAAAACGGCTGCAATTGGCACGGAATTATGGACAAACATGGAGAGCTATAGTTCAAGTAAAAAATATTGAAATAGCTATGCTGTGTATAGTTTTTATAAATAAGTATTGCTTATCAATAGAAACGTAAGGTTATGAGAATGCAAAGTAGAGGCAGTGGTGTGGGTGCACTTAGTTTATCAGTTGAAGCTTTACCTAGAAGTGTGCTAAATATACAAAGTCCAATTAGGTCAATTGAAACATTACCAAGAACATGTCGCAATTCACCAAGTCCAACAAGAGCATGGTCTGGCAGACAAATGGTACATAGAAAGAGTGATGACTTACCATTAAGATCACCAATAAGTGGACCACATCAATTACATTATCATAATAATTTTATATAATCTCTGAATTTTACTATACTATAGGTGTGTCATGGGATTACTAATTAATAAAGTGAGAGCAATGTAATATAAACCATATCTTGCCAAGTTCATACTATTCATTCAAAATATTAATGTCTCAATGACTGCCAATATTGTCTATAGGATTAATAAATCCCAATAGCTTTTTAGAAAATTCTTTTGTATCAAACTAGAAAAAAATTTGAGCATTACCAATTTAAGTTTAATTAGTCTAGATATTAAAATGAATCTAACATCAACAAACATTAAGCCCTCAAGTAAAGGTTTTAAGACCAACATAATTTTATAGCTCATTCATTATTATTTTGCTACACCAGCGAAATGTTTTTCAATTAATATTAATTAAACATTTTCAAAACTTAAGTAATTTAAAATAGCTAGATACATGCAATACAAAAATAAATTATCATAAAAGAAAACTTTTTTAATTTTAAATTTTAGAAGACTACTTTAGTTCAAACCAGTTAATTGTAGCAGTTGTATAGTTTTTGACAAATTTTAACTCTTGAACAAATTATAACAGAATTAAGATTCTTTTTTTCTCCTTATTTTACCTTTTATAAAATTCTGGCTATGCTATTGTTGCATATGTAATTAATTTAAAAACTATTATCAACCAAAAATATAATATAATTTATCTGGGCAGTATATTTAACGTAATAATGTAATTCATTTTTATATATTTTTACCAGGTATTATCTATATTGCTTTATTATAAAATAAAATGAAAAACTGCTCACAGGCATTACTTTTAAAATAAAATTTATAAAATAAATTTTATAGAATCATGAGTGTTCTTATGAGGAGATTAGATGAAAATAAATACATAGTAAAGATATACTTTTCAAATGGATAAAAAATAATTCTTCCCTTCTCCATGAAAAAACAACGAAACCACCCCTGTAAAAAAATATAATGAATATTAAGAATTTTAGGAAATATTTTGAGTATAAAAATCCTTGAGGAGTACATATACAAACAATATCATTTTTTACAGTTTAATTTTTATATTGTTTGTGTTGATAAATATTTAAAATATGGTAAGTGTAAGTGCAAAAATTGATTGTTTCTTTAATTTGTTAACATTTTTTTTTCTTTTAATGTCATAATTTTGTTAAGTCGCAGACATTTTCATCAAAATGTGACCCCTTATTTAATGTCTGGTTAGCATGAACCTGTATAAATCTGTTGATATAATTATTTTTTGTTTATATNGTCTGGTTAGCATGAACCTGTATAAATCTGTTGATATAATTATTTTTTGTTTATATATGTATACATTTTGTTTTTTCTATTAATTTTATTATAATGTTAAATAAAAAAGAACATTTTTTATTCTTTGATTTTAACAATGGATTAAAGTAATTATACTACAACAATTTTTTAATTTTTTATTTAAGAAATATCAAAACATTTTAGTTTAATATAAATGTTGATACTTAATGTTGAAAAAGAAATTAGACTAAGGCCATAGAAGTATACTCATAAGTACAAATATATGTAATATTCAAAACATTTTTTTTACCTCCAATTACACATAGTTATTATAATTTAGGATCTTACCAGCCTACTTAACTTAGGAGATTGTTGTTTTAAAGATAAAAAACCTTAGTTAATTTTAAACTGATAAATATCAGTGAAAGGGATGATCATTCCAGTAACTAAGTTGATCTCTCCCCTAACAATAGTCTCTGTCAATCACCATACTTTGAAATCTTTGCAATATGTGTTATGTACCTTCTGCATTAAAAACTAAGTTATACCATTCTTTGATTCATTATATTAACTATATTCAGTAAAATATTTAAAAATTTAGATTTATCCTTTTATTTATTTAATAAATTATTATGTTTTTCTTCTAATTTTGATTTTGATGTTGAATATAGAAATTTAATAGTTGGATATTAATATCTCATAAATTATCACTACGGAATATCTACAAGCGATTTTAAATTGTTAACTCAATGCCAATACCTATGGCTCATCTCTTCAATACTCTTCAATTATTTTCTACCTTGTCTTTATTTAAAGAAGTATTTTTCCCAAGTATATCACTGACTAAAATAGAAATATTTATCTTTACTACTTTCACATATACACATTTTTATATCCATATCTTTTCTCTTGTGCTTGTTATTAAAATTATAGTAAAAATTCTTATTTAATATAAATACTAAGACATACATTTCACATTCTACTATCAATTTTTTTATATAATACAAGTAAATAAACATAAAACAAATATTTATATTTATTTATCACTCTTTATTTTAAATTAGTATAATTTAAATAACAACATTATACATTTTACAATGTTATTAATTTTAAAATACTTTTGAATTAATTACAGTTCAGAGTTATTAATATATAAATCGACTAGGTACATTTCATAATTATCACTTCAGTAGCGTCATCCTTAATGTAAATTAATATTATATAAATTATACAATATTTGAACAACAACAAAAAAAAAATATATATATAATATATCTTTCATATATACATTATTTTTTTAGAAACAATAAAGTATAACTTGAGTAATTCACAAGAAATATATTACATAATTACCATTCATCACTTACATTAAAATAATTAATAAATGAAAATTTTATTAATAAAAAAAAATTTTGCTCAAAATAATTTCAATTTTTAATAATATTTATTTAATGTTTAAATCATCAGTTAAAATAATAATTATATAAATTAAATAAATAATAGTAATTTAATTATTTATTGTATATTAAATATTAATACCAAACATTTTTAGGTGCAGATAAAAGCTTACAGTTTAATAACATCAACCAGAACTTTAAAATACAAATTATTTTCTTCTCATACAATAATATTTTATATTTTATTGATTATATATAGAATAGACATGAAAGTAATAATGCAAAAGACCAATGATTATATGAGCACCTTTTTTTTTTATAAATAAAACTGATTTTTAAGCATCCCTTAACACTAAAAACTTCATTGGAGTCTTGAGTCATTTTATCTTAGCCCTAAATTCATATGTATTATTATCATTGAATTTAATAAAATACATACACATTTTGCACACAAAATGAATCACTCATAATCTAACTAAAGTAATAACTAATTTTATTTTTAAAACATATTTTATTAAAAATTAAAATACTGGAAATTTAACTTTTCAATAGTTAAAATCACAGATTTTTATATTTTATGTGATGCAATCATTAATTAATAAATAATTTGTAAAACTTATAATAATTTATACTATTTTATTTAAAAATAAATAAAATTGGAATGTCAAAAAATTGCTATAGTTTGATTATATACTTATATTAGTAGCTAGATAATTTGAATTACATGTCAAAGAAAAAAGTAAAATTAATGTGATTCATAAATTCGATAAGTGCCAAAAATAAAATCTGATTTCAATTTATTGAAAAAACTCATCAAATATCAATTGTTTTATATAAAAACTAGATATTAACTTATACATCTAAGATCACAAAATTATTTATATTATAATACTTTATTAATTGAAACTTTAAACAGGAGTCTCGTGATCAACTTCTTCAATTCTGCTCAATCTCCACCCATTAGGATCAACTAAAAACAATTAAGAATATAAATGAAAAATTGTATAAGTACTTTAAATTTATTATACAACCATTAAATGTTAATTTACTTTAAACTTGGATACTCTTAAACCAATAATCAAATAATAAATCAAATTAAATTTCAATAAATGATACTCACCATTTAAAATAAGCTTATTTATGAAGAGTCTTGAGCATATCTCGCACAGATTGCTCAGAGTACCAAGATGATTGATACTTAATCAATGGTTTATTTTCTGGGCATGCATGGTCACTCTCTAATTATAACAAAAGTATATCATGCAAAAATAGTTTGAAAGTATAAATATTTTTATAAAGCACATATTATTCACAACTTGAATTAATTAAGCTACCAATCAAATTAGAATATATATAATTGAAAAAAAACCAGCACAGGGGGTCAGGCACAGTTGATATCTGACAGTGATTAAAATCATTATCATAAAAAACGCTTTGATGCAAATCTTTAGATAGTGTTTAATTTAAAAAAAATGGTGGATTATTCCAAAAGCTACATAATCTGCTATTTCTTTATTTATATCCTAATTAAGATAAAGTATATCGAATGAAAAAGAAATATAAATACTACTTCTCATGAAAAATTGTATCAATCCATACATTTTTCAACAAGTTATAGCACAATAAAGTTAAAAATGTAAAATACAAAATTGAAAATTTTCACACAAAAATATCATTTGGTAGCCATTTTCACCATGAAGACAAAATAAAGTCCGAAATTTTTTTTTTCATAATAAAGTAAATTACATTACCTTTAATTTAAGATATATATAATAGTGTCAGACAAGGAACAAGGGAAATTTTTTCAATTTTTAAGGATAATGTATTCGATTAGATACGATTTGTGATCATTTGACATATTGTTGAAAGAAATCGATCCAGTGAGAGCTGAGAAAAAGTAGTGACAAAAAAAAAAAAAAAAAACAACACCTTCTCAGCTTTGCATCGAAATTAAAATGAAATATATATATTATATAATGTTCAGTAAGTAAGGAAACGGGTTTGTACTTTTCTCATTGTTTGTAACAATTGACCTGTTTCCTTATTTACAGAACACCTGTATATACATTTTTTTATGATAGTACTAGCTATCATTATAGTTTGTTAATGTAACAAATTTTGAAATAAGAGATGCACAATTGACAAAAATGATTGGCATACTTAATAGTTTAGTATCACAGATGTATTAAACTCTGATGATAATGAAACTAGTATCATTAAAATTTTAAAATCAATTATGAAAAACAAACCAAAAAAAAGTTTGTTAACATGATGGTTACAAATTAATGTAATTCAAATTTTAGATGTGTTCAGTCATAAAATATAAGTGATAAAAATCAATAAATAAATTAGATAAATATCAAAAAAAAAAAAACCTTAACTGAAGCTACTATATAATAAAAAATGTTAATAAAATGAAATATAGAAAAAAACTAAAAATCAATTTTAGATCAATAAATTATAATAACTTAAAATCAAGCTGTATAAAATTAAAAATAATTGCACTAATTGAAGCATATCTACTTTCTTTGAATAGAATAACACGTAACAAAAAAATTACAAGCAGAAATAATTTGATTAGTGATTTGGTAAAAAACTTATAATATATCTTACGANTTTGATTAGTGATTTGGTAAAAAACTTATAATATATCTTACGATAAAAATACAAAATTAATATAAAAACTAACTTTTCATTTCTAAGTATTAGAATGTATTAAATTAGAATTAGTTGAAATACTTAACTATAATAATAATAATTTAATTAACATACCTTGAAGTTCACGTTTTAATATAGTTTCAATCCCAGCTTGTCCATCACCATTACGTTTCAAATAGAGAACTGTTTGTTTTTCATCATTTGGATTACCTAGTAATTCTCCTTCTTCACTTTCATGCCATTGATTTGGGGAGTGACCATTTGACATTGTTTCACTTACCTACCAGTTTTTTTTTTTAATTTTATATTTTTTATAAATTTCTATAAATTGTTTTTTCAAACCTGCATTAGTTTTTTAACAACATCCCGACCAAGAATATGATCAAATATAGTATACAAAAACTGATCAGTAATAATAGATAACCTTAACTTATCACGATGCCACAATAAAACTCTCGAGTCTTCTACAGCTGTAACAGAAACCTATAATAACAATTTATATATTATTATTGATATTCACTTAAAAGTTAAAACAACATAAATTTAATTACCTGAAAAAATTCATCAGTAGATACACCAAACCATTCAGGGGAATCTAAAAACTGGTAGGGGAATACTATATGTAAAGCATTGCCATTCTGAGATATCACCAATCTGTATAAAATAAGCAAAAAGTTATTTTAACAAAGATATATCTTTTACATTACAGTTATTAATGAACAATTTATTGGCTCCCTTTAACAAAAATGTATATTAAAGTAAGAAACTAGTAATTTTATAGTCATATTAATAATATTCAAAGAAATTTGAATTTATTATGAAATAATGTAATGAATACCAAATAATCAAAACACCTACAAATAATAAATATTAAATTTTAAATTAAGTAAATTTTTTTTATTAATAACACATTAACCATAAGATATTTTTTTTTAATAATAACCAAAAAAAATATTTAAATTGTTTAAACAATTTAATTGTAAGAAATATTGTATAAAACAACTAATTTCATTTAAATTATATAGTTTTATTGTTGATAAGTGACTAATACCTTATAACTCTAAAAAAATCAATTTTGCCATAATGGTATGAAAAAAGTAGAAGAAAAACACTAAAATTTGATAAAATCATATGCAATGTTTTTTCAAACAAATTTACAGGCTAAATGGAAATTTTTTTGTATCTTAGATATAAATAACTTATTTAAATATTTTTTTTATTATCTGAAAAATTTGACTTTTTTTAAAAATTGAGGACTAAGATGGCCAAAAGACATTGGTAACTGATATAAAATGATTTGCCATATTTGACAACCATTTTACTTACTTTCCAGAAAGCACTAATGACAAACTATCAACCCTAGTGACTTTTTCTTCTGCAAATATTTCTAGAGTTTTTAATGGTCGAACCATTTTCATACATGATATAATTTTTCTAAATTGTTTACGACTAACTTTTAAAGGTAGAAACAATGATTTATATACCTGTTAAAAATTATTAATTAAAAAAATAATAATAATTATATTCTATATTATTTACATACTTGTTCTAATTCATCACTAAATTTAATAGGTTTTAGTTGATAAAATAGCACAAAGACATAAATCAGATTTACAACAAAAGATGCTGAATTCCATAATAAACTATCAATCCAACATTGGACATTTCGAGCCCAAAGTGCCATAATTGCAGTGGCAGTAGTCAAGGCTAATCGTATAAAAAGAATCAAACGAGAGGGAGATCCAAAAGGTAACATATAGCAAATGAACATGATAGCCTGTGATAAATGAAAATAAGGATGATTGAATACAGTTGATAAACATGATGAGTTTAGAGTTAAAACAGTAGCTGTATCTAAAAATGTTTTCAAGGAAGACCATGCAAGATAATCATTAAAAGAACAGCCTCCACCATCATAGCAACTATAATTACCTAGAAACAAATAAAATTAATTAATTAGTTCTTTGATTTATAAGTTTAATATGTGTGTGTTACTTTGAGCTGTAATATTTGTGTTATTCATTATATTTATAGCTTAGACTCCAATACTTCAACAATGATGAACCGAGGTCAAGGGAAAATAAAGTAGTCATTACCAATAGAATAAATTTCTACATAAAAAAAAAGTTCAAGATAAAAATAAAAAACAATCTAAAGGTAAAAATGACGTTTTAGAGGGTGAATCGATCACAGATCAAACACCTACATAAAAACTGTAAAGTGATTATTGTCAATAGTTTACTCACCATAAACAAGTCTTACATTTATTAAAAATTAAAATAGCAATTATTAAATTTAACTGTCGACAATAATCATTAGTACAACTGAGTTTACAAAAATTGTACAAAATAATATCACTAAAAAATTTTGAAATGATTTAGTGAGATCACCATTCCGAAAAAACTACAACAAGTTCATCGTAGCATTTATAAGTTACTTTTCTTCAAATAATATTTAATAGCTAGCTCTCGAAAAATTTAAGCAATTGTAGTAACTATATCATTTTGATTACATACAATAAGGGAGACACTGAATAAAAGGTGACACTGATAGCCATCTAACAATTATAAAATAAGGGTAAACTCTAGATATTGTATGTGATAGGGATATGCTCCTCGTGCAGCAGCTGCAATAAGCACTATCGATATATTCACATATTATCGAATATTCAAATATCGATCAAATTTATAATACATATAGAACATGATGTTGGTTTTAGTGAGTGGTTTCTTTTAGGTATATCTAATGGTACAATTAATGTTTTATAATTGAAATATTCAAATAAATATTTAAAAATATTACAATTTGAAGTTTCAACGTTAGAGAGTAATTTAGTTGTTTCAAAATTACTACTAAAATATTTAATTTCAAAAGAGCCCTTTAAAGTAGACTGTATAAATAAGTTGGGACATTAGTAAGGTTTAAAAAATTTATTGAAATTCAGCCAATGGACTTAATTTTATAATTATTTACGTTATGTAGACGTTTTATATGAGAAAGGTTACAATCACGTTTTAACGTTTTTTCTGCTCATACAACTGTCATTTGCGTATGTAATTTTGGTATTAATATATTATGTTAATAGCAATATTATTGATCTTTATTTTAATTAGTTACATAAAAATATCGATAAAAATTTTGTTTTTGTATTTCCTGGGTGTGATTTATGTTCTTTCTTACATAAATTATTTATAAATGTTTTAGTGCGGCGACATATAATAAACATATCTGAAGTGTAATTCAAGGGGACAAAATACTTTATTTTTCATTTTATAAAACTTGAATTTCTTTTTATTGTATATAAAATATTAATTTTATTAATTAATATTGAGTAATGACTTATTTTTATTTTCGCATACAATTTTAGTCATGTAATTTAATGAAATAATTTTTATTTTTGGTAAAAATCCAACGTAACTCTACAAAATACGTTTAATACTTATTTTGAAATAAAGGAGGTTAATAATACATTATTTTATTAAATTTAAATATCTAATCTAATAATTTGTACTATAATTTCTTTTTATTATCTTATTTATTAACAATATTTTTCGAGAAAAAAATTTTTCCTTATCGAACTTTTTTTTTCACTCATTTTAATTCAATTATATGATATTGAATTGCAAAATTAATAAATTCAATAAACTTTGTGATTATTTTGTTAATTCAGGCAATAAATACCTGGTTAATCACTTATTTGTTTAATTATTAGCTCGTTAAATCATACTTAATACTAACTAGACTAAATCCCATCATTATGGGGTGAGAGTTTACAATAAAGTAAGAGTACGGTTTTATTTTTCATTTTGTTTCAGTTCATTAAATAGATTTCTAATATTTTTTAATAGTTTGTCTAGCTTAAAAAAAATTATTTATAAATACCATACACTACAAGTTATATACGATAAAAAAAAGTGTACACTTTTACCCTAGATTATTCTAATGATCAAAATGTTTACGTTATATTATACAAAACCAACAGAAATATACCTATCTTCGCCAGTGGCAGTCAAGTGGGAGGGAATTAGGAGAATGAATCCCCCATTGAAAATTTTTTAGTTTTCATTACACAAATATTATATTTTGAAACTTAACATTAGCTAATTTGAAAGTTGTCGAGTACAATTAAAATGTAAAAATTATTAATTCCACAAATTGGGGACATTAAATTTTAAGTCTTGGTTATTATTTAAAATGCAAGAAAATTCAATGGGGTTACAATTCTAAAATAAATCAAATATTAGAAGTTTACGTCATAAGAAGAAAGCCGTTTATATTTATTTAGTCAATAATGGCATTTTGATAAAGTAAATACAATAAATAAACCCTGAATCATAGGAGTACAGTACTTACGATAGTTTTTACCATAAAGGTTTTCTACTCATCATAACAAAATCATTTAATATATTTAATAGTAGTCAACTGTTAAGGTTGAAAAAAATTATAATTTTGAACCCAAATACCATTGTAGTTTTTTAAGATTTTTTATATATGAGTAGTTTTTTTTTGTAATTATCCAATTTAATCCAACGATTGCAATGCAATACAAGCTTATTATCAGTTATTATTTGTTTCAAATTGTCATATCTGAATTTGCAAACTATTTGCATATACTGTAATAAAAAAAAAGTAAACTAAACTTTATAAAATTCAGTAAACTCAACTTAACTATTAAATTTTTTTTACACATTTTTTTATTAGATGGCTAATATTTTTTTTTGATACGTTAAAAAAATGTTTTATAAAGTACTAACAAAATCATCCAATAATAAACAACCAATTTTGGTAAGGAATTTATGTATCTACTAATTTTTCCAATTATTAAAAGATAATTATAGGGAGTGAAAAGTAAAAAAATAGTTTTGCAATACCTAAGGGGTGGGTAGCGATTTTACACTTTAGCGTTACTGCACGTACTTCTCCATTAACTATGCAATGCTAATAAAAAAATGTTTGTTTAACCCATCAACGCCGAGAATTATTTTTTTTCAAACTTTCTATTTTTTTTACTAAAAACAGATTAATATACAACACAAAAATAAAAAAAAATTATTTTGACACAAATTATGTCAAAACAAAGTAAAAACAATGTATTATCGGTGTGCGTGATAGCCGATAAGTAGTTACATTCGGGTATTCTAAGAACGCGCGATAAAAATAGCAATACGAATGTCACCATATGGGGACGCCAGTCGTTGATGGGTTAATTTTTTGAGTTTAAAATATAACACAGAATAACTAGAAAGTAAAGTAACCTAAATTAACATTGACTTAATTTTAAGTTATAGTGAAGTTTTTGGGTGAATATCAAACAAAGTGTATTTACTTTGTTTTAAAGTTTCTCTTCTGATTGTTCTGTGACATTAACATCCAGTTATCTAATTATTTCTTATCACATTTTCATAAGTTTTTTTTTATTAATCTTACTAAATTTTAAATGAAAATAGTTACGAGATGTCAATTAACTTCTCAAAATGGTTTTTAAATTTATCATGCAATATTTTATGAATCATCCACAATTGGTGGATAAATTAGCAAATTCTAACTCAATGAAGGCGGCTGCACGATTTGTTGTTCATAAGTTCATTAAAGCTAAATCTTTAACAGAAGACGTGAAAACTGAAAAAGTAGAAGTAATATTGAAAAATTGGTCTGAGAAATTAAAAGAAATAAATAACAAATTAGATGGTAAAAAGTAATTTTTGAGATGGTTATAAAGAAGTCAAGAATTAAAGATCATTCAATTGTATTTTTGGGCTCACATCCTTCAAAGAAAAAAGGTGGAATTAAAGAAATAATATCTCATTTTATAATATCTCCTGGTGATTTGCTTAAGAGAATATTACATTCATTTTTACCTCCTTTTCGTTCTTATTATGTTCATATTGATTTCATGGGACCTGTTTTGGCATTTGTTATTTTGGCTACTACACTTAGTTATGGGCATGCTTACAAAATTACATCTGCTGTATATCATCGATCACCTTCAGAAATTTTATTTTTTTATTGCTCTTTGATGCCAGTTCTTTGTTATATTTTAACTCGACTAGGACAATCAAAAATTTCTTTTGTACAATTGATATCATTACTAGGATATGGTTTGTATGGATATGTTTTCACACTAATTATTAGTTTTATATCAGATGAGACGAACAATATTTTATTTTTTATGGCTATGATAATATTTACTGGATCTAGTGTTTTAAGAGTATGTTTAATAGTACTTGTAACTATCAAAATACCAGTGGTTAGACTTCTAGTATGTAGTATTATTGCAATTGTACAAGTTTTATTTGTTGTGTTTTTGTACTTTACATTTGTTCATTCTAGTTTTAAATTTGTAAAAATTAAAAAATAAAATTGTATTAATTAGTTTTTGTGAATAGTTATCATTAAAATGTAGTTATAATACTTTAAGAGTTAAATTATTACAATAGTGTTAGGAATTAATGATTTTATTTATATATAAAATTGATCACAGTATAATATAGTTTAATCACTCTACAAATATATTTCAAACTTAATCAAATTTGAAAAAAAGTTCAAGTATGGATTTTTACACCATTTACAATTCACATTAAGTTAATAAAATATATAATAATAACAGTAGATATATTAACTTATATATTTAAATATAACAAAATAAAATCAAATATTGGTTAATTGAGCAACGGGACCTGGAAGGTAGTCGGATAAATAATTACCAGCCTAAAGAATGTTATATATTATCCATGACCATGGCGCATTAGTGAACTACTCTCTTCCATCTATATTAAACTACTGATTACAATAGTGTTTGCAACTATTATTTAATAAAATAATATTTTACTGAATAAAGCACTTCAATAGGTTACTCCTTCCATTTTTACTTTCATAACTGAATGTTACGTACTCTGATCTAATAGACCAGAGACCCGGTAAAATAAGAAAAGAATGATTTATTTTTTTATTGAAATAGTTATTAACTATATTCTATACTAGGAACCTAGTATTTTTTGGTATGTGAAGTAAAGTGGCATTAAATGTAAGCCAAAATTAAGACGTGGTGAGGTCCAGGATCCAAAATTGAAGTATAATTTCTACATCATAGGTATCATTTTAGCTTTATAGTTTATATTAACTATAGTAATTATTTATTATATACCTATTGTATGCAATCATAGTACATCAAACTAAAAATCTAAAAAAATGACTAATTTCTGGTTTGAAAAAAGATCAGTTTTATTAATTTTTTTTCATGTTGAATGAATAATGTTGATGGCAGAAAAACATTAAATTTTAGATATTTTAGTGTCAATATTTGAGAAATTGTATTATGCAATAAGTTATTGGTACAAGATATCGTTCAGGGCGAATTGAGAAGGCTAGGGGCAGAGTTCCCAGTTTACAATTAAACCCCCAAAATTTAGCAAAATTATGTTAATTGATATATAAAAATTATTTTTTTGAGGGAGAAAATTAAATTTAGTTTCCCCAATAAAAAATTGACGATCCTATGCTTAAAAAAATGTTTAAAATGCCTTGAATCAATTAAATTATAGTATTTTACAAAAAAAAAAAAAAAAGGTAATTAGTTGATTTATAATTTGTTAATTTTTAGAAAACTTGTTTACCTGTGGTAAATTTAAATATTTATTTAGTGTATAAATTATAAACTAACAAAATATATATTATATAATAAATTTGTAACTAGGGGAGTATCTGAACTCAGTTCTTATTTTTTTTAGTTTTGATTTTAGATATTGTGATTAGATTCCTACTAACAGAAAGTGTGGTCTAGGAAAGTACATGATTTTGTCGTCCTAGCAAATTAGTTTCAGTGCGAAGTTGAGAAGGTAGTAATTTTATCATGATGTGTTTATTTATTAATTTGTCAATTTAATTAATATAATTTTTTTCAAATCATTAGTTAACTAAATTGTGAGGAGTTTTGAAGGATTTTAACATATAGCAATTAAACATTTTTGTTTAAAATGAAACCTAAAACAAAAAAAACCAACGATTTTTTTCCGTTTACAACTCTACCTATATACTACTACACGAAAATGATCAATTTTCGTTCTATATTGTACAGAGAAAATGTCCAATTATTTTAATCATGGTCTCTTAAACTTCTTTCCGATTTGAACCTAGATTCTACTCGTTACAATAAATTAAGATACATGTATTCTAGTCATAGGCGTTGAGTAGAAAGATTTTGAGGGCTAATTTTTTAATTGAGAGAGCAAAGTCACTAGCACTTGATGCTAAAGATCTTTGTTTAACAATTAAATATTTATTGTATATCAATACCGTATAACTTCAAGTGATATCGATTTTTAAATTATGCCGTTAACCTTTCACTGAAAATTGCAAACTTGCTATCATACAATTATTTTTCAAGACTAGTGATAATGTATTTCTAGTAATAAATTATTTCTTATTTTAATAATAATTATAAATTTTTTACTAACTTATAGTATCATTTCTATAAATAATTAACTTTCTATCGTTCATTAAATTAATTGCGATTTTTATTATTAAATTTATTCATATAATGTCTAATGAATTTAATCCTAAAATTGAAAATTCAATTGAGGATCTTAAGAAATTATCGAAAGAAGTGAGTATTTTACGTTTAATTATACATAGTTATATACTCTAAAGAAAAAAAATTATTATTAACCTTTTTATCTATTTCTGAGGTTGAAAACTATATACATAAAATATAGTTAAAAGATTGAATTATGTAGTTAAGCTGCAAAAGTAAAAACTATTTTCTTTAGAGGTAACTAAATTTTATTTCATTACATAAATAATCATTTTAGGAACTCATTATTAAAGTTCAAGAGTTACAAAATCTAAATGTTAATAACAAGAACAAAAAATTAATAAAAAACAACAAGTTAAAACGAAATTTTGATTTTAGCAAGTAAATATGTATTTTGTCATATGTATTTCAGAAATTAATATTACTTTGTTTTTTGAATATTTTAAATATAATAGTGTATTATGATTTTAAAAGAGTTATGGCTTAATTTTAATAATACTAAAATATTTATAGTTAAAAATTTTTTTAGATTTTTGTACAACATAAAACTTTTGATTATTAAAATTTATTTTGTAATATTTTCTATTTCACTACACAAATATTAAAATATTGTATAATTTAAAATTATACTATTTTTTTTTATAAGTTTCTCAAATTTTCTATTAATCTATTATTGGTGTTTGACTTTTGATCTCAGTTTAATCAAAAACTTTTATTTCTTCCTATGTGGAGATCTAGATTGGGCAATGAGGTAGTCACCCTTCCCAGTAAAGATTAAATTTGATTGTTAATTAAATTTTTTGTATAGAAAATTTCAATATAATATTTTAGTTTATCTCTGTAAATTCACTTTATATCAGTGTCTATTTTATTTATAATATAGTATTTTTAAGTATTTAAATTGAGGTTCATGATGATACTTTTAATGTAATTTATATTTGAAAAAAAGTAACTAACTATGTATATTTATCATCAATAGATATCATAAAAGACACATAGCATTTAAATTGTTATATTTGGGATGGGATTATCAAGGATTTGCTACACAAGATAATACTGAGAAAACAATTGAACATGAGTTATTTCGTGCTTTAACCAAATGTTGCTTGATTGAAAGTCGCCAAGTATCTAATTATCATAGATGTGGTCGAACTGACAAAGGAGTTAGTTCATTTAGTCAGGTAAACATTTTATATGAGTATATAGTATATTTAAATAAAAATTTTCAAGTTATAAATTTTATTATATATTTCTATTTATATAAATATTAGACTATAATATTTATGAAAATAGCTAATATTTCTAAGATTTGTAATTTAGGTGGATTATTCATTGTAAAATTTGTATAATAATTTTAAATTAAGTGTTCAGTATTGAATATTTTCAATCTCAATTTCAGGTTATATCATTAACTGTTCGTAGCAATGGCAATGATTATAATGAACTAAATTACTGTAAAATTCTTAATAGATTATTACCAAAAAATATCAGAGTTATAGCTTGGAGTCCAGTTCCTGAAGATTTTAGTGCAAGATTTGATTGTATTTCAAGAACCTATAAGTATTGGTTTCCTAGGGGAAACCTTGATGTAGATGTATGTAAAATTAGGTTTTCATCATTATTGTACATGATTTTTTTTCGCTAATTAAGTTATATTTTAGTTAATGAACAATGCTATACAACAAATAGTTGGTTCTCATGACTTTCGTAACTTATGTAAAATGGATGTTGCAAATGGTGTTACTAAATTTGTCAGACATATAATTAGTGCTAAAGTTCAAGTATCATCTATCAACAATCAATTTACAAAATGCAGAGGTTATGATATGTGTGAACTTACAATTGAAGGTCAATCTTTTTTGTGGCATCAAATTCGTTGCATAGTTTCCGTTTTAATTTTAATTGGACAACATAAAGAAGATGAAAGCATATTAACTAGTTTATTAGACATCAATTTTTGTCCAAGGTAATTAAATATAATTTCATAAATAATATTTTATTTTAGTTTTAAAATTTGTTGTAGAAAGCCTCAATATTCATTAGCTAGTGACTTACCTTTAAATTTGTTTTGTTGTCAATATGAAAATATTAATTGGATTGTTGACAAGGTATCTTTATGTGAAGTTTCTTTGACATTACAGTGTTTTTGGGCAAATAATATGATTAAGTAAGGAAATTTAATTATTTTAGATTATTTTGTTACCATTATTTATTATTATTATTTTGAACATTTAAATAATATTGACATTATTAAGTTTTACTTTTCTCATCACATAAATAATTTTAGTTATAAAAATTGTTAAAAAAACTTATTAAAGTAATTATATTTTAAATTTTGATATTCTTAGAGCGACAATGTTAAGTGAAATGTTAAAAAGTATTGAAGAATTGTCACCAGGTGTTTCACATTCACAAAGTGACTGGTTAATTCAAGGTGTAAAATCTAAAATTTATCAACCTTTGTTGAAACGTCCGGCTAGTGGTAATTTAAGTTTTAAATTTATCATGATATTCTCCCTTATCATTTATATTTATTACATTTGTGAGAATGATATAATGTTTTTTTTTTTTTAGAAAGTTTAGAAAATAGAATATTACATTATACCAAAAAAGGGAAAATTAAGACAAATGACATTGTAGAAAAATAAAAAACAAAAAATTAATAAATGTGAAAAATATATTGTTCAAAATATAACTATTTTTTCTTAATTGAACCATATCTATATCTATACCTATGTAATCCATAAAGAATCATACAATGGCAAATGTGTAATAAAGCACTACTTAATGCTGTAGCTGGATATGTGTTCCAACAAATTTCAATCAATCCAAGTATAATTAGTCTGAATTTATTGCCATATGGCGTTGACCATAACAAAAATGGTAGAGTGTGATAATACCATACATAAAATTGATAATGAAGAGATCGACTAAACATGATTCCAATAAAATTAGCAGTGAACATAGGTAGAAGAAATAGATTTGCACTAATGTCCATGTTTATACTGATTTTTTTTTTCTTCAGTTGTGGTTTTAAATCATGTTCAATTTGTTTCATTTTTGCATAAGAGTTTAGGTATTTGAACCACGTAGAAGTAAAACAAAGTAGTACTGTTATATGTATCATCAGTAAAAGAATGTGAAAATATCCACTTACAAATATGTTAGGTGGAATAAATTTCCAATTAACTGACCATTTGTATAAGAAAATTCTGGATAAATCAAAGGCACCTTGAATATAATTAATTGGATTTGTAAGTAGGAAAGGTAAGCCAAGTATAAGTTGTATTAGAGCACAATATGTTATATGTTTAATCGTTCCATAGGTTCCAAATTTAGTTATATAAGCAATTAAAAGAGCTGGAGAATAAAGTAAGATATTCATCTTGATGGAAACTGCTAAACTATAAATTATACTACCACATGTCCATTTATTCTTCAAAAACATGTATAATGATAAATATAATAGGATAACTGCGATAGGATCATTGAATAAACGTAATACATAAATTGAATGAATACGATATGATGAAAAACATTGTAATAACATTACAAATGGTGGCACTTTTTTACTTCGTTCATGTATTTTGAAAACCAGATAAATATTTATTAAATAAAATAACATGTATAAGTATTGAGCAATTCTGATATTTTTGCCATATTCAGTCAAATAATAAAGTATTGTAAATGTATAAACAAATCCAGCTGGGTAAACTAATGGACCAGTGTCACCTTTCAGTTTATTATAATCAAATGTGCCATTGTTAACAACACCTTCAACTTCTTGCATATATGCTTTCCAATCGATTTCTGTGTACTTGACTTTTTGAATAATGTACAGATTTAATACAAATTCTATAATTAATACTACCCATTTAATATAAATTGTATAGGAAGGATCAAATAGATATAGCTTGATTTTTTCAAGTATATAATGAGCCTTCACAGTTTTTCTACATATCTTCCACATAACTTTTTATTAATTTAAAACAGAAAAAAAACTATAGACACTAAAAGTTAAAAAAATTACATTGAAATTACTACTTAAATTAAGATATTACAAGATAATATATCGTAAGATTTTTAATGTAAAAATTATTAATGATCTGATTAACCGGCGTAATCTTGTTTAACAGTAATTGGTAATTCAATATGGATCAGGATTATAACTATATTCTGATAATAGAAGATTTAGTCTTATCAATTATTTAGATAATATAACAATTAGCACGGTTATAGATAAGACAGTTTGGGCCGACGTTTTCTTTACTACAACCTGAAATACAGTTTGTCACTTCGAAAGCAGCTGTTTAAGAATTGCGAGTTTTACGGATAGCGTTCAAGTAGTCAATTTCAACCAATCAACGCATAGTGTAAAGTCACGGGATCATTTTTTCATTATTATAAAATAAAACAGACACCACATCCGCTTCTAGCAACTGATGAATTAACAATAAAAAATAATTATTGCCAAATTAGCAATCATCCTAAATACTATTGAAACCTGTTAATGGAATAGGTTAAGTTATTCATTTAAATAAGAGCTTACGTATTCATATGGTTGTTTATGGCGTTTTTGTAAAATCATTTTTAACATTGTTGCAATGCGTAAGCAAACGTAGGTTAACCTTATAGTAAAAAATACACAACACGTTAAGACAATATAATTCTTTATTAAGACGAGTTGAATGTTACAAACAAAGATAATCAGCGAAAACTGGATGATATTGAGATAGTTTATTAGCATTTTATATTGATGAGTGTTATCAATTATTAGGGCCGCCCAGGACGAAAAATAGATACTGTCGGTGTCAGTCGGCGTTTGCCGATGGTGGGCCGTGCCAAAAATAGCCACAGGAATCAAAAGATTCCCTGGTTATTTTTGGCCGCGAAATACTCCTGCACCAGTCCAGATGGTCGGTCGAGACATTTCCTAATGGGTTAAATCGATAATATCTCCATCCTCCTTCATTGGGTCTGATTGATGCATTGTTGGGGTAGATGGTTGAACTATGGCCATTGGTCATAGCTGAGGCATCTCCATTCGGCCCACGAATTCCTCTAGCTCCTGTATTACATCTTACATGGTAATGTTCTTGTTATCAGGTGGCACAACCAACGCTTTGTCTCCTACTTTGACTAATTCTGGTGTATTGACTACTGGTGTTTCGAGCGATCGTAGAAGTCCTTATTTTAGACAGCAGTGTTGTTTTCTAAATTTAGAATGAAATTTAAAGCCGTACCTTCCAAAAAAGCCGGTAAAAATTGAACTTTTTTTTCCTCGGTTCATTCATTTATGATTCTGGTCCTCTTGTATCGTTCAAGAAACAGGTCTATGTTTTCATGAATTTCTCCCCTAAACTGACCTGTCTTAAAGAATGGCTTCCTACGGTTCTTGTTGTCATCACTAGCCATGTTTTTGGTATACAATACGGTAAAAGACTCGTTAAGATCTACAACAAAATCTTCCGGCAACCAATAACCTTTAATGTACCTAACCAAGCAGTCTCTTTTGCTCTAGAGTGCCAGTGGTAGTTAGTTTTCTTTTGTTCAGTTCAGTAATGGCTTTCTCTGTGTTTAGTTTATGTGCCCAAATTGTCTTGTAAGATAAACGTTCGTTTTCTTCTGACGCTGTTAGGTTAAGCTGGATGAGGGATTTTCCTCTTTGGTCATCAAGTGTTGGATAAATTGGTTTTATTATTTATAATTTTGTTTTTATAGTATAATAACAACCCTAATGTAATATATAAAGGTTATCTTTATTGGGTGCCACTCTGTTGTAACACACAACAAAAATATAGGAAAAGGGGTGTAGTAGAGGTATAGAGTGTACAAAAATGATGAGTCTGCTGCCTGGGTATTCACGCACGTATGATCATAAGGCAGTTACCGTGCACGGCTGACACTCCGGATTAGCTGTGGGTGTCGAAAGGCCGTTGTTATAGGAAGGGAATAAGGGTAATACCTAGGTATGAGGTGCAGACGAAGTGCAAGACACAAGTACTCTGAAATGTCATGAACATGAGTAGGTAGGTGTAATAGAAAAACAAATACTTGACTTTATGCAGTAAGCCGGTCAGCGACAACTGAGTACTGATTTTGATAAATGACATAAAGCACTGAAAACGACTGCCACGATGGCGCAAGGTATTTTGGGTTTAAATAGTAATTCGGACGATTGCCAATTTTGCAATAAATATTAATCGTCAATTCATCATTCTCTAGAAGCGGATGCGCTATCTGTATTTTATTACATAAATTTTTTTCAATAATGGTAACGTGACACCATCACAATTGTTTACTCAAGTTTTCTAATTTGGATATATGTTGTGCCATATTATCATTTTTATCCATTACATAACTAAAAAATTTTTTCTGAATCATTATAATTGATTCATCAGACTTTTGTTCATATACACTTAGTAATTTATTCCACATACCTTTTGATATGTCCCAGTTCATTATGCAGTCTAATGACTGCTTTTCTACTGACATAACTATAAAACGTCGAGCCTTAGCATCTGTCATCAACCATTTTTGTTGCACTTGTTCTAAACGTATTGAACTTCTTACAAATATGATATCGAACATCTGTATGTTTAGTTCGTTTATGGAATTCTAGAATTTTCGCCAATTTTATGATACTTTGATTGTACGCATATAAAACAGGCGTCTCTTTCTATGTTTCGTGAAGAATACAAGTGTTTCCACTTTTTAGTAGCGTCAACCAAGTTAGTTCCTGGACTGCTTGACTTAGTGCCATGTATTCAACCTCAGTAGATAAAATTTTGCCTTCGTGAACACCATGCTACTATTCCATTGGTTATCATGAAAATGTATCCTGATGTTGGTCGCCTAGTTGTTGTATCACCAGCATAGTCTGCATCACTATAACCATATAACTTAAGTTTCACCCAAGAATAAAAAAATAAATCATAGTTGTAGGTTCCTTTTAAATATTTTAAAATACGTTTCACCGCATTCCAATGTATTATCAGAGGCTTTTCTAAATAGCGACTGACAAGATTTACAGCAAACGTTATATCAGATCTTGTGACCTGACTTAGATATAACAAGCTTCTTACTGCTTCTCTGTATGGAACTTCCCCTGCTTGTAATGATTCAGAAAAATTATTATCTAATGAGTGTTGTGGATCTACAGAAATACATAGGGCGTTGGATTCAACTATATTGAATTTCTCTAAAACGCGTTGACAGTATAATGACTGATGTATAAATATCGACCCATCCGGTCTCTGATTTCAATTCCCAGAAAATGATTAATTTATCTGCTTTTGTCTCAAAGTAGCTTTTAAGGTACTTCAACATCATGTCCATTTACTTATCATTTGTTGCTGCTATAATCCCATCATCTACAAAAATAGCTTCAATCATTAATTGTTCATTTTTATTATGTACAAATACACATGGATCTGCATTTGTTTTTTTTAGATCACTGTTTAACAACAAATTTTTATTTTTTTTTATACCAGTATCTGGGTGTTTGTTTTAATCAAATCTTCGTTGAAGTTTGCAAACTTGTTTAGTTCCATCTTCATATCCTTTTCCCTGGTTCATATAAATCTTTTCATCAAGATCATCATATAAAAATGCTGTTTTAATATCAAATTGTCTGAATTTTAATTTTCTGGCTGCTGCTATTTCTAGTAATACTCTTATAGAGTCATACTTTAAAACTGGACTAAAACTTTCTTGAAAATCAATTCTACTTGTGCATTGCTTTTTATTACTAATCTGGCTTTAAATCTATCAACTTCTCCATTTTTCTTGAATTTGGTTCCATATACCCAGCCATTTTTAAGTATTTTTTTTATTTGTTGGTATATTTACTAATTTCCATGTTTCATTCTTTTTAGCTTCGATGCTAAGCTAAGAAGATATTAATTTCACCATGATGTGTTTTTTTTTGTGTCTGTTGCCACTTTTTCTCAGCTCTCACTGGACCGATTTCTTTCAATGATACGCCAAAAGATCACAAATAGTATCTAGTTGAAGACATTACCCCTAAAAATTGAAAAAATTTCCCTCGTTCTCCGTAAATGACAGAAATTTCCAAAAAAATTACAAATTTTGAAATCGGTAAATTTTTTCATTTTTTTCACTTTTTATTCTTGAAATTACCGTAATTCTCTCAAAAATTAACAAATCAACTTAATTTTTTTTATATTGAAATTTTAGATATTTCCCTTTCATTTTATATAATTTTTTTGAAAATCTAACAGTTAACCAGCTTACAGGGGGTGATTTAAAATAGCAATTTTTTTATAAAAATTAACTTTTTTAACATAACTTTTGAAATTGTTGGGGAAATACTGAGTTTAACTAAAGTTAAAAATGTAAAATATAAAATTGAGAATTTTAACTCAAAAATAGCATACGATAGCCATTTTCACCTTAAAGACAAAGTAAAGTCCCAATTTTTTTTTTTTCATAATAAAGGATATTACATTAGATTTAATTTAAGATTTATACAAAAGTGTCAGACTTTCCGGAACACTTTCAAAATTTTAGTTGAAAAAGTTGTCATTTTAAATACCCTCCCGTGGGCAGGTAAAGGGTCAGATTTATAAAAAAAATATAACATCTGATAGGTAAAGACATAATGCATCTATAAAAAAAAAATTATATTGAATTGTTCTTTTTTGAAAAAATTAACGATTTTTAAATTTGTAATTTTTTTGGAGGTTTTCTCCATTTACGGGGAACGAGGGAAATTTTTTCAATTTTTGAGGGTAATGTATTTGACTAGACACGATTTGTGATCTTTTGACGTATCGTTGAAATAAATCGGTTCGGTGAAAGCTGAGAAAAAGTGGTAACAGACACAAAAAAAAACATATTATAGTAATACTAATATCTTCTCAGATTCGCATCGAAGCTAAAAATAAAGGTCACGATGAAGACGAAAAGCATTCGGTAGCCATTTTAACCACGATGACAAGTCCAGAGGTCAAATTTTTTTTTTCCATAATAAAGTACATTACATTAGCTTTAATTTAATATATATATAAACTGTCAGACCTTAATTATATACGTTTGAATATAATCTTTGTTATTATTTTAGAGGCATGGGATAACAAACTAATAGTACGGTATTCTTCACATTTCTTTGCTGCTGTTTTCTTTGGGATGGGAATAATTAGGCTTTTACGTAATCTTCAGACAATTCTCTGGTTTCGTATATAACTTTGATAATTTGAAATAATTCCCTTTTAACTTTTTCTTCCGCCTCCTTCCAAAGCTCCGCTTGTATTCCATCGATTCCTGCTATATGCTTCATCACTACTTCCTGTCTTTATGAGGGTTTCTATTTCATTACACTTTTCTTCCAAATATTTTTCTTTTGCTTCCATCGATTTCCTAATGATTAGATTCCTCAGTTCTCTGTATTTTTTCTGTCCATCTATACTGTTCAAACTCTTGTATTTCCTTCTTTCCTCTATCATGTTGACTATTTCCATTCCTTTCTTGCTGCATTGTTGCTATTTCCTAGAGTTTTCGTTGCAGTCATTGTAATTGTATCTTTCAAGTTCTGCCATCTTTCTTTAATATTTTGGGATTTTTCAATAATTATATCATTAATGTCTTCACTATATGTTTTGTTTATTTTCTCATCTCTCAGATTTTTAATTTTCCATCGCACTATTTTCTTCTTTTTATCCATTATTCTTTTAAATTTAAGTTCGCATTTCATCATTACTAGATTGCGGTCGCTATCTATATCCGCTCCTGGGTAACTTCTATTTTTCTTTACTTGATTTTTAAATCTGATTTATTTTTCAGACAATGTAAAAAAAAAAATCGACTTTTTAAACAATTGCAATTTTATCTATTGTTTTGAAAGATATTGTTGTTATTACAATATTCAGAATATGTTAATAATAATAAAGTCTTAAATTTTCATATTAATAATTGTTAATGATATTTAATTTGATTAAAAATTATTATACGAATTTTAATAGTTATAATTTTCAAATAGACCTAATAAGACAAGGCACTATTTCGAAATTAATGATAAATTTGTACAATAATAGCTAATAGTCAAATTCATTTCACATAAACCATTATATAAATAACTCGAATTATAACGAGCGTAAGTCAGATCACTTGGCAATTTTTGGAGGCTTTGCGGTAACGTAGGCTTTGTCAAAGAGTGATTAATAAAAACCCAGCACAGGGGGTCGGGGCACAGTAGTGACGTGGCATAGTTGAATCAAGTATAATGATATCTGTCAGTGATTAAAATCACTATAAAAAAAAAGCTTCATCATTACTAGATTGCGATCGCTATCTATATCCGCTCCTGGGTAACTTCTACTTTCCTTTACTTGATTTTTAAATCTGTTCTTAACCATGATATAATCTATTTGGTATCTATTTATGTCTCCTGGCATTTTCCACGTGTATCTTCTTCTTCGATGGCGATCGAAGCAAGTGTTTGTGATTATTAAGTTATGTTTTGCACAAAATTCTAATAAGCGTTCTCCTCTTACATTTCGCGTTCCCAACCCAAAGGCACCCGTTACATTATTTACTTTTTCTTCCCCTACAACGGCATTCGAATCACCCATTACTACCAGATTCTCTTCCCCTTTAACATTTTCGATTATTTTATCTATATTTTCGTATACTTCTTCTACCTCTTCATCGTTACTATTTAATGTCGGCATATAGACTTGAACTACTATTGTATCTTTTGGTTTCGTCTGGAGCTTGACTAGAATGATTCTATCGTCATATTGTATATAGCCTTTAACTTTTTTTCCTAGGGTTTTATTCATTATAATCCCTACTCCTCCTGTGCCAGGTTTCTTCTCTGATGCTCCTGTATATATTATTCTATGGTCTCCGCTCCAAAAGTCTCCTGACTTTGGAAATGATCTCATTTCTGATATTCCAAGAATATCGATTTTCATCTTGTCCATTTATATTTTCAGATTCTCCAATTTTTCCCACATTGTAATGAAGTCCTTACATTCCAAGTTGCTATTCGTTTATATTCCTTCACATCCTTAACACTTCTTACCTCTCTTGTAGTCCCTACCCGGTGATCCGAACGGGGGACTATTTTACCTCCGGAATTTTATACTTGAGAAGAAGACATGTTGATTGCTGTTACTTAGGATATTAATACGGTGGTTTCCCGTTGCCTTCCGTATCGCAGTGCAGCTATCAGTTATACAGTTTCCCGTATCTGGGTGGCGTGTAGCTGATGAACCTACACCCAATATTGTAGTAGCTGCCTCCCTACTACAAGTCCCTTTTAGTCGCCTTTTACGACAGGCAGGAACAACCGATGGTCTATTCTAACCCCGACCAACAGGGGAAAATATATATTAGTATAATAATTTAAATATATACTGGTTTGAAAAAGTTACCTAGATATATAAACAAAAAATCTAAATATTGATTGAAAAACTTTAATTACAGGTAACAGAATTGAGAGTAACCTTTAGATAATTTTGTAAATCACTCTAAGTATTAAAATTAAAAATATTAGAGTTTTTGTTAACAGTTTGTTGATATTGGTTGAGTTTTGGTTAACATTTTGTTGATATTGGTTGAGTTTTTGTTAGTTAGAAAATTAAGTATTCATATTTAAGAATTAAAAAATGGAATCTCAAAAAAGTGCCAAGAACATACGGTTTAATCCTTATACAATGGCTAAAACAAATAAGGGTAATTACACAAATGAATATATACTTAAATAATATATAATTTTAGATGAAAAATTGATTACAATATAAATAATAATGTTTTCCAGATTGTTCGAGCTTTTTAAACAGTGGTATACCTAATACATGGGGTTGGACAGAAAATCGAAAATGTGAATTTGTACCAAAAGCGAAAAAAAATAATCGTAACACTAATAATGAATTAGTGGTTAAAATTGCTTCTATAAAAAAAGAATTGAATATTTTACTGGCGGAGGAAAATTACAGTGCTTTTTCTATTGACTGTCTTAAAACACAGATCAAGGCGCTACGAATTGAATGAGTTTTTTACATTTATAATATTATGTCATATAATACTATAACAGTTAACTGCATTAGTATTAATGATGTTTATTCATCAACATTTATGGTTTATATCATACTTTTAATATAATATCATGGTATTATAAGTATAAAAATAATATAAATAATGCAATTAAAAACAATTATCATCATAACAAAAATTTGTTTATGCTATAAAAAAATTATTTTCAATCATTATATTATATAACATAAGTATAAGTTATTTATTTAGTTAAATTAAATAAGTTTACATTTTTGTGTGGTAATATTGTGAAATATTTAATAATTTGTAAATATATTTTGTATTATAATTTCAAAATTTTTGTATTTATTTGATTGAGATAATTGATTAGGAAAAAAGATTGGTGCTTAAATTTCGAAACTGCATTAATTCACTAAAATTGGTATTTGTGTAGAGACCAAATTTCATATTTAGTACATTAATATTTCTATTTCTCCTGTTAATTTACTTTTGTCATTTACCACTTTTTCATAAACAAAACCTCGGTTATTTTTCATTTTTTATTTCACTGCTGTAGTTTAAAATGAATTGTAAATAGGAATACAAAAGGCCCAGAGGGGTATTACATTTTTGATAAACTTACTTACTTGTTAGATCATTCGCTATTGAATATAATAAAAAGTATTAATAAAATGTGATCGTTGATGCGTTTGTTAAAAGTTTTCAATTAGTGACCTTAATTATACTAAAGTTATTGATTATAAAGATGAAAGACAAACAATGATGAAGGCAAATGAGTAGGAATATCATTGTGAGCTTTTTCATTTAAATGAAGTACGGCTATCAAACATATTTCTTCCAAATCATTTTAATATCATCCAAAATACTTATTTTGTACATTATCTCTGGTAGCCAAAACAAATGGCAAAGAATTAATTGAGTTTACTAACAAAAACACATAAGTTGTTAATGTCGGTTATGTTTTGATAAACGATTTCTCAAAAATGCGATGATGATAAATGTCAATGGATTACTTTTGTTCGACTTAAGAAACTTTTAGTCGATTACACGGTTATAAGTTAAATGGATTTGCTTTGACCACTATTTGGGACAATATATTAGGGCGTTGTTAGGTTGTAAGTTTTCATTCAAAAAACCGCGTGCCTCAGGGCATTGAAAAAGTTTTATTTTTGGAATGACCGAACATTAGTAACATTTGATAGATTCTTTTACTGAATAAACCAACGCGTCATGTAATCTTGTAGAAAAAACTATTAGTAAGTTTTCCGTGTCAAACGAAATGTCTCGTATCTTGTTTATAAGAAAAACAAAACAACTGTTTCATTTTTGCGGGACATAAATTAAACGGGGCTTATGTATAATTAATTTTGTATTAAATTAATTAAAAGTTATTGCTTTGTTTTCTAGAGTAGAAGATTTCTTTAAGCACACAAAAATTACACAGTGTTAAAATTTATTAGTTCTATCTATTAAAACACTCCATAATGTTTATATTACTGAAATGTTTTATACAATATAAACATTGTAATGATAATCATTACATTGATTAGTTGAATTATGAGCGTTTTTTCTTTTGAAATGAAATTCTGTATTATTTTTAATGAGAATATTATGTTAAAATGTTCAATCAGAATTAAAAAAACAAATTTCCGGATGAATGTTTAACGAAGAATTGGCAATTTCAATAAGGGGAATGTTACATTAAAATTTGAAAATCACAACGGAATTCGGTAAGAAATAAAATGTTAATAATTTCCATTTTCCACTTAATTAAAAATTCGAATTGAACACAATGTATCCATCAAAATTGAACTCACAAAAGTGTCTTATGTAATAATAAAATTTCCGGGACCTACCAAACAAAAACAATAGTTTTGGAAAGTAATAACAACAATGATGATTTTTTCTCAGAGATTTTAGTCGCTTTAAAATGCTTTTAGAGAGTAATTAATATTTGCTATGATAATAAACTATCGATTAACTATTCAAATTGTGTTTATACTACCGAATATTTTATTTTTAGCATAAACTATTAAATAGTTTAAAAACTATTCGAATATATTGTTTAACTATCGAATAGTTTTAATAGTGGACAACTATCGAATAGTTAGATAGTTACTATTCGATACTTCGCATCACTAAAATCACGGCTATAAACAGCTGTAGTGATAATGTACGGAGTTAACAACACATTAGATAGATAAAATCATCTAGATGAATATCTGCGTGTATCATTCTTTTTAAGACTGGTTATAATTATAATGCCTCAAGGAAAATTTAAAAATAAGTCACAATCATCTTTTGTTAAAAAGAAGAAACCACAACAGAAAGCTAGGAAAGGTTTGTATACTATTTACTCTGAAATTATTTTATATAATTTCATTATATAAATAAATTTCATTATAAACCTTAGTTTTTCTGTATAATTGTTAATATGTTTATTAAAATAGCATGTCCTATGCCATCAAAGAAACATAAATATGAAGAAGGCCAACGAATTAAACGAATGATTAGTAAAAATGTAAATAAATTAGCTGAAGAAGAACTAAGGGCCTTAGCGACAGACAGTAAAAAGGTTTTTTTATCAAAGAAGAAAAAACAAGTAGGACAAACTGTTCAAACAGCTCCTAGTAAACCAAAAGAAATTAAAATTGCTAAAAAATAATTTTTTTAGTACTTTCAAAAAAAAAAAATAATGCTGTTTAAAATACAAAATGGATTTAAGTTCTTTGTGAAATTTATTTTAATGAATAAATGAGTTAAATAAGTGTTATGTCTGAAATATATGTATGATCTATGGAAATAACATTTTTAAAATTAATTTGTTGCCATTAAATATAATTTTAAAATAGGCAATTGAATTGTTATTTTAAAATTATGTTAACTTGTCTATTAAAATATAAAGGTGATTGATACAATAGATTCATATTTAGTGCTGTAATTTATAAAGAACTATTTTAATTAAGACATTGAGATTTTTCCTTTAATAAATTTATTTAGATATGGTATAAAACATATTTAAAAATTTTTTTGTTTTATTTTGGATTGGCAAGATGGCCATTTATGTATATCTGTAAAATATAGCATACTTAAGTTCATAATTTCAGAACCAATTAAATTGAGCTAATTATACTATCATCCTTTATAAAGTAGTTTTATTCTTAAATTTATTATTTTTCTGTGATTTTTGTTCAAGTTATTATTTGTAATGAATAATTGCTATTATTGTAATTACACAGTTACAATTATCTAACTCAATTGTGAAATTTTAGAACAAAAAGACAAGATAATTATTTTGTTAATCAATGTTAAATTTTATTTTAAAAGATGCTTAAGCGAATATTTTAAGTATATGAAAATCATAGTGAATATTCAAAAGTAATGGATCAGAATAGTAAAAGTTTAAAAGGGAAAAATTTAAACATAAACTAAATAATTGAATGTGTTCACATTTACATGCATTTTGTAAAAAGAGAATATCGCTTACATTCCAATTCTTTTTTTATGAAATGAATGTTTATATGTTCATGATTATTAATTTTTTATTTCATATTTATAGAGGATTGCTTGTAAAAAATTGTGAATTGGATCTTTTTAATCAATGAAAAGTTGAAAACTTCTTCCCTGTTTTACACCCAATCGTTAATTGTTCTCCATAAAAACAATAGAAAATTCATACTTTCAGTATAATACCTACCTTAATTGGAGTTTTATTCGAGAGCTAGAGTGATATTCTTGAAAAGAATTTTCACTACCAAATGCAATAAGTTGCAGCATGTAAATAATGCATTAATTCTTGATGTTTAGTGCTACCTGTTACCGAATTTTTTAAATTTTTAGTGAACATTGGAGCAATGCATTAAATACATGTATGTATATTTTTTGAAACATTTGTCTTTTTTAAGATTGTTTGATTTGTTTTTGCTTGTGAATAGTTTGAATTTTTAATAACTTAAGTGAAGGTACACAGAAGTAATGGAATACTAGTGTATTTTATGAAGGTTATAATATATCTTTCACAGATAAATTAATATATTATAAACAACTGTTAATACCTCAATAATAAACTAAAAAGTACCTTTATAGTAACTAAGTACTATTGTTGAAATATGAAGAAGTCATAAATTAATTTAAAAACAATATGTCTATATTACTTTGATCTTCAAACATATAAAAAATAAAATTATTGAAAATAATTTAAATTAAACATTTTTTTAATGATAAGTCAAAAGGTAAGTGACTGTAAGCTGATTAAGAAAAATAAATATCGAAATATACTTAAACAATTTACACATACATTTTGATTAAAAATAATTATTAAGATTACAGCATAGCTATTTTTAAAGTAAGTTATTAAAAAAATTTTTCTCTAAGTCTTACTAAATTATAAACTCAAAAAATAATCAAATATATTAAATTAAAATATAATTTGTGGCTAAAGCTGATTGAACCATTTATAGGATCTAGGCACTAATTGAAAAAAAAAATCATAAGCAAATCTTCTATAACTCAGCTATATGACATTTTTTTCTCAAAATGGTATTATAATGGGTGCTTTGCAAAATTAAAAAAATTTCATAAATCCAAGGCAATGACTATTATATCTAGTAGTCAATATGATCATTTTGAAACATATTCTATTTATAAATCAACATATTCTTTTGTTTATGTTATTTTTCAGCAAAATCATTTATAAGTTTCAAGGTTAATTTATCCACTAACAATGAGATTTTGGTTTTTTCCTTTTAAAATGCTTGATATAGTATTTTCTTTAAATTCGATTGTACCACTTTTTGATCCTCTAATATTATGTGTCATTCTGTCAAAAAATATAATAAAAAATATTAGACAGCTAGATTAGCTAGAAATTCAATGATGTTAGACAGTTCAGAGAATATTTTAACTAATAAACTTAGCTATGTAATGCAACCAGTGAAAATTTATTGTGGCCTAATACTTGTTATATAAAAAAAATAGTCCTATTTAAAAATGTACCAATGTTATATAAATTATAAAATTAATAAATAATAAACAAAATTGTATACAAATTATACGATTTTTACTTGGAAAATTATCTTATAAGTATAATAAATGTATACAAATAAATTTTTTTCCACAGCTACAATACTTGATTACAACTAAGTCATTTTTTGATGATCCCTTATATACCTATTATTATGGATTCAATCTCCCATTTCAAAAATTTCATAAATAAACTAATTAAAAAAAACCCAGCACGGGGGGGTCGCGGCACAGTGGTGACGTGGTATAGATGGATCAAGTATAATGATATCTGACAGTGATTAAAATCACTATCAAAAAAAAAACGCTTTGATGCAAATTTTTAGATACTGTTTAATTTTAAAAAATTGGTGGACTATTCCAAAAGCTACATGATCTGCTAGTTCATTATTAATATCCTAATTAAGATAAAGTATGTAGAATGAAAAAGGGATTATTAAAAAATATTATTTCTCATAAAAAAATAATGTTGATCCATACACTTTTCAATATGTCATAGCATTATAAAGTTAAAAATGTAAAATACAAAATCGAAAATTTTCACACAAAAATAGCATTCGATGGCCATTTTCACCGTGAAGATAAAATAAAGTCCGAAATTTTTTTTTGCATAATAAAGAATATTACATTAGCTTTAATTTAAGATATATATAAAAGTGTCAGATCTTCCGGAACATTTTCAAAAGTTAAGTTGAAAAAGTTGTCATTTTAAATCCCCCCTTGTAGGCAGGTTAAGGGTTAAATTTTCGAAAAAAATATACCAAACGAAAGGTAATAATATTACACATCTATATAAAAAAGAATTATATTGATATGTCATTTTTTGAAAAAGTTATGGCACTTTTAAGTAAAAAAAATTGAAAAAATTTCGAAAATTAGCGATTTTTAAATTTGTAATTTTTTTGGAGGTTTCCCCCATTTACGGGGAACGAGGGAAATTTTTTCAATTTTTGAGGATAATGTCTTCGACTAGATACAATTTGTGATCTTTTGACGTATCATTGAAAGANAATGTATTTGACTAGACACGATTTGTGATCTTTTGACGTATCATTGAAAGAAATTGGTTCGGTGAGAGCTGAGAAAAAGTGGTAACAGACACAAAAAAAAAAAAAAA